GGAGAGAGAGAGAGAGAGAGAGAGAGAGAGAGAGAGAGAGAGAGAGAGAGAGAGAGGGGGACGGGAGGTTGAGGGAATGACCTGGATTAGGGCCGCCTCCCCGTCGCGCTGCCGTGCTCCGCTGCCGCGTCGCTCCTCTGCAAGCCGACTCACTGTGCCCGCTTCTTTCTCTCTCTCTCTGTGTGTGTGTGTGTGTGTGTGTGTGTGTGTGTGTGTGTGTGTGTGTGTGTGTGTGTGTGTGGTGTCGCGAGCTTCAGCACGCCCGCTGGATGACGCTCCGCGATGGAGGGATCCCCGGCGATGGGCGTTGTCGGGTCGAAGGTAGGGCAATGGTGGCTGCTCCCGTCGGGCCGAAGTGAGGGCGGGAAGTCGAAGGTGAGTTTCGAAATGCAGTCGACCCCTCCCGCTCGCCCCCACCCCAACGAGGCCGCCAAAACAACGGCCTCTTAGGACCGCCTCTCGAAATCAAGAAACGACGAACACTTCATTAAAAAAAAATAAAAAAAAATTGGACTCACTGAATCTGTCATGTCCGGAAGCAAAAAAAAATTCGAAACGGCCTCCAAAAACCCCAGGACCAATTTTCGGGGGTCCGAGCCAATGTGATTGACTCCGGTCTGGATCCGGACCGTCTGGATGGGGGTCCAGACGTCCGGATCGTAGCCATGGTTTAAGTTTGAATTTGGAAATAAGAAAAAAGAGATATGTAAGAGAGTGGAAATCAATCTAATTAAGTCATCAAGAACAAAACTATATCTAATCTGTGTACAAATTTTCCATAAGACACATATTCATTTTTTTGTTGGAGAAAAATATGACTCTAGGGTTGACACGTGAACAAGTCATGGCTATACTGGGCTCGAGTACGGTAACAAAAAGACTAATTGATAGAGCTTTTTCCTACGAGAGAGAGAGAGAGAGAGAGAGAGAGAGAGAGAGAGAGAGAGAGAGAGAGAGAGAGAGAAACCCTAACTACCTACGACGCCCCACCACCATTAACTGCATTATGTCCTGATCAGTGTCATATCTGATCCGTGTTCCATCAGGAGATTCAGGACTATTAAAAAAAAAACAATCGAACAAAGAAACATAAACTCCAAACGGGCGTGCAAGACCATTAAAACAAAGAAAAAAGGAAAATCCGCACGGGCGCGAGCCGGGCGTGAGAGAGAGAGAGAGAGAGAGAGAGAGAGAGAGAGAGAGAGAGAGAGAGAGAGAGAGATACTCGACGACCCCCGCACGATTAAGTGTAGTATCTGTTCCGATCAGTTTCATGTCTGATCTGTGGTCAATTGGGACCAATACAAAAAAGAATAAAAAAAACGGGAAAACCTTACATGCGCACGCACGCACACGACCGAGCGAGCGAGTGTCTGTGTGTGTGTGTGTGTGTGTGTGAGAGAGAGAGAGAGAGAGAGAGAGAGAGAGAGAGAGAGAGAGGGAGACTGGGACGGGGAGAGAGAGAGAGAGAGAGAGAGAGAGAGAGAGAGAGAGAGAGAGAGAGAGAGAGAGAGAGAGAGAGAGAGAGAGAGAGAGAGAGAGNAGAGAGAGAGAGAGAGAGAGAGAGAGAGAGAGAGAGAGAGAGAGAGAGAGAGAGAGAGAGAGAGAGAGAGAGAGAGAGAGAGAGAGAGACGTAAAACCTAACTACCTACGACGGCCCACCACCATCAAGTGTATTATCTGTCGTGATCAGTGTCATATCTGATCTGTGTTCCATTAGGAGATTCAGGACAATTAAAAAAAAAAAACAATCAAACAAAGAAACAAACTCCAAACGGGCGTGCAAGGTCATTAAAACAAAGAAAAAAAGAAACTCCACACGCGCACAAGATCAACTTTCTCAGCGTTCCCACACTAAGTGATCAATGTTTGGGGACTCGTTATCCCATCACCTTTCAAGCAATATTCAAGCAAACATTCAAGCAACATTCCATCAGCGCCCAGTCATTCTTATTTGCACCAAAGATCAGTATCAATCGGACAGTGCCTTCCTCTAGAGACACTAGATCAGTTTCAACATCCCCTTGTGCGCATAAGGGCAGTTCAGTGATTCTCGATCGAGGGGTCAGTTTTGGGCAGTTTCAACAGGATTGCCTCGAAAGATGCTTTCCGGTACCAATAGGTCAGTGTTGTTGGGTTCAGGCAAGGGGGTCTGACAGTCTTTGCCGTTCTCACCAGTTTCGCTGGTGGCATTATCCACGATCTGAGACTCTGTGAAGAAAGGCAATGAGGCTCATGAACAATTTGACTCAGTTTGGATTTCGGCTGCTAGGTACCTTGAGGAGTGAGAGAGGGAGTTTGACGAGAGTGGTATCAAACTGATTCGCAGTTTTGGGCCCAAGCTCTACACTGATTACCCTAGGCCTCCAGTTCCGTTTACTCTCACAGATGGTCCTTTCTGGGGTGATCCAGTGGAGTTGGCGAAGAGGTATATTTCCCCTGCAGAGATTGATTACGAGGCAATGACTGAACCATTTGAGTTTTGATATCTCAGACGAGAGATTTTCTCTCAGCCATATCTCCCTTCTCTATGGGAGGAATTTTGTGCTATGGTTGACTTTCGTATTATGGGCCTCAAATGGAAATGTTCAGAGCTTGCAAGTTTTAGGTGGCTGTATATTCAGAGGCCATAATTTGTAAGTGGTTTGAGGCTCAAGAAACGCACAACCAAATGAGATATCAATGATGAGACTTCAGAGGGACGAGTGAGGACTCCTAACGAGTGTTGGCCATGCCTATCTATTTGTGCTTCCAGAGACTATTATGAGTTCTCATTCTTCCCTCACTTACCTTTGTCATTGCTCAAGTCAGTCAGTCTTGCATCGCCCACATTGCCTTCGCTTGATGATTATGCTATCTGATGATTGTGTCACAGTTCTCAAAATTATTGAAACTGGGAAAAATTTATACATGCATACGCATCAAAATTTCATGATTTTTACTTGCATAATCTTTCCTGTTCCGAATCAAAATAAAAGATTCCTAACACCGAGGACCGGCGAAGACTGCAATTGAAGGGTCTCGCTCAAAGCCGGATGCACAAAACAAGAAGGGATTTGCTTTATTTATTTATTGCAAAACACCATCAAAATCCTGCGTGACAGCCTGTTCGCTTTCTGGTGGCCTGAAGAGGCCCGACTAGAATAAGTGCGACAACATGCCCTGGAGGGCCACGGCGGCCCTACGGGCCGCAGGTACCAGTGAGGCAACACTCATTTCTTTATTTCTTTATTTTGTGATGTGTTGTCCTACATTTGTCTGTTCAAACGACTTTTCGGACTGCAGGTCCCAAGGCGACGCCTTGGGCGAGGTACATAGGGACAAGGCCGTTTTTAGGCCAGGCGTGTTTTGGTGCCTCGCTGCATCAGCAAAGTGGTCTGGGCCCAGACCAAGTAGGCCGTTTTGAGGCCAGTACTTGAGGCGCGCCCAGCAGGCCCAACGCTACTTATAGTTGGGCTGAGGTTAGGCAAACATAGTTATAGAGTAGCTCACTTCTTGAGCGACACGTTGCTGGTTGAGCACGGCGCTGTTTAGCGCTCCACTGCGGAGTTGGAGGTCGAAGACCAGAAGGCAGAGGGTCGGAGGCCATACCTGCGTTAGGGGACTTACCTGGCGCGCTAGTTGGGACTCCATGTGCGCCTGTGGCCTGCACATGACGACAACAGGATGGCGGTCAGCTCGGCGGTAGCACCTGCAGGTGAGACAACGAGGAAGGCGACATCTTCTTCTTCTTCGTCGGTCTCCCTCTCGTCTCCCTCCTTCCTCTTGCTTCCTCCTCCTTCCTTGTTCTTTCTTTTTTTTTTTTTTCTCCTTCTTCTTCTTCTTCTTCTTCAGAAACGAGAGAGAGAGAGAGGTTACAGTCAGAGGATACAGGCAGAGGTTACTTTGGGCAGAGCGCCTAGGATCTGATCCGGCATTTTTGAGGCAGACATTGATTGGGCATTGGCAAGGGACTATTTTTGGACTTCACTATTGCAATCTTGGTCTTCTCCCTCGCCTCCATCTTCGTCTCGCCTCTCCCACCATCTCTCATTTGTGGTATCTCCCCATGCGCATGTACAAAGGAGGGACCTTTCTTCCATGTGTGCGGTCCCTCCTCTTCCTCTCACATGTGTGGTGTATGATGGGATGTCGCGTCAGTCCCGGTCAAGTCAGGACTTATCTTTAAGTCTTCCACTGCGCTACTTTGTGCCATTTTGTATGTATCAAGATGTACATTGCATGTTGATGTTTCACTGACATTGCATTGTCCATTCGGTCCTTGTCATCATATTGCGGATCCTTGCTTCCATATACATTGCCCAACCGGGCATGTATCACAAATCAGCGCCCGGGAACCGTCTGTTGGGGGTCCATTGAAGACAAATGTCCCTCTTCCTCCCATAGAATCCTGCTGAGGTCATTAACCATCTCCTTACCTTCCCTATTCTTGGTAGGTCGGTTGTTAGAGAAAAGAAAAGGGAGCATGAAGGATCAAGAGGTCCTTGTGATGAAGTATAGATCTAACAGTGACAAGGAGAGATGGGAAGAAGAGGCCTGTCAAGATATGGATTATCATAAGTGGGTTCAGAGAGAACATGCAGTCCGACTGGTTAGAGAAGAAAACTATATCGAATATGTATTTGATTTTATGGCCACAATGGCAAGTTCGACAACATTGGCTCATTGCTAGAAACAGTGGAGCAGGCCAAAGTGAGGCTCATGTGAGCGCGAACGTGCCCAAAATTTTCTCTCAAAATCCTTACCTGCATCCCAATCAGCAATTCTCACTCGATAATATGCAATTTCTCTCAGTGCCCTGCTATGAGGTGATCAGTATCCAGTGACTTGTTAATTCAACAAAATTCAATTATCAGAGGAGTTGTCAGAAAATTCTAGTCAAGATCAATTGTCATTCAGTCACTTTCATTTGTCCCTGAGATCACTGCTAGTCAGACAATGCTTTCATCAAAAGACACTGAGATCAGTCTCAATACCCACATTTGCGTATGAGCACGGTTCAGCCATTCCTGGTCAGTGAGTTAGTTTTGGCCAACCTCAACAAGATAGCCCTCAAGGATGCTGTTCAATATCAGTACCTTAGTGTCGTTGGTTCCAGACAAGGGGGTCTGTCAATGTTCGTTGTTCTCACCAAATTCGTAGGTGGCACCATTCATGACCTGAGACTCTATGTGAAGATGGGCAAGGAAACTCATGAGCACTTTGACTCAGTCTGGATCCCAGCGACAAAGCATCTTGAGGTGAAGGAGAAAGAGCTTGATGAGAGTGGCACGAAACTGATCCGCAGCTTCGGACCCAAGCTGTACATTGACTATCCCAAGCCAACGATACCTCTCCTTCTCACAGATGGTTCTTACTGAGGCGACTTGGCCGATCTATCAAAGAGGTAACCCTCAGAGTTTCATCTCAGACAAGGGTTTTTCACCCAGCTATATCTCCCTATGCTATGGGAGGAGTTTTGTGTTATGGTTGACTTTCGTATCATGGGCCTTGGATGGAAGTGCTTAGAGCTTGCAGGTATTAGGTGGCTCTACATCCAGAGGCCACAATCTCTGGAGGTACATAGACATGGCTCGAGGCACAAGCGGCCCACAACCAAATGAGAGATTGATGACGAGGTTCTAGAGGGATGAGCGAGGACTTCTAACTAGTGTTGGCCATGCCTGTTCATTTGTACTTTCTCAGATCATTATGAGTTCTCATTTTTCCCTCATTCATCTTGTCCTTGCTTTGAGTCAGTCAGCCTTGATTCCTTGCATTGACTCTACTTGATGATTATGCTTTCCTGATATTCTGTCACAATTCCCAAAATAAGTAAACCGGTGAAGACCGTAATTGAAGGGCTCGCTCGAAGCCGGACGCACACAACATGAAGGAATTTGCATTATTTAATTTATTTATTTATCGCAAAAGTCTACAAAATCCTGCATGACAGCCTGTTGGTTTTCCGGTCGCTAGAAGTGGCCTGACTGGAAAAAGTGCGACAACGCACGCGCGTGAGTGGGAGAGAGAGACCTACGACCCACCCACCCCAATCCGTTTCACATTTGATCCATGGTCCATCGGCGCCAAAAAAGAAATGGAAAAACATGCGAGCGCGAGTGTGAGCCCGCAGGAGAGAGAGAGAGAGAGAGAGAGAGAGAGAGAGAGAGAGAGAGAGAGAGAGAGTAACTACCTACGACCCATTCATCCCCCCACCGACATCACAAGTATTATTTGTACCAACCACTTTTGTATTTGATCCGTGGTCCATTTGGACCCAAGAAAAAAAAAAAAACGGGACAAAGCACGCACGTGAGAGAGAGAGACTCTAACCTACGACCGCCGCCCCCCCACCCCCGCCCCCCAACCATAAAGTGTATTATTTGTATCTATCAATGTCATATCTCATCCGAGACCTGAAAAGAACAAGAAAAATGAAACTGAAAAAACGCTCGTGCGTGCGCTCGTGCGCGCGCGCGAGAGAGAGCGAGAGAGAGAAACTCTGCCTAGGACAGACCCCCACCCAAACAAAACTATCAAGTGTATTATCTGTCCCGATCAGTTTCATATCTCATTATTGGTCCATCGAGACCATTAAAAAAACAAGAAACGAAAAATCCGCATTGGCGCACACAAGCTTGCGCACCCTCGTGCATGAAAAAGAGACACACACACACACACAAAGAGAGAGAGAGAGAGAGAGAGAGAGAGAGAGAGAGAGAGAGAGAGAGGGAGAGAGAGTAGATCTTTCCCGAAGGGGGGGGAAGGGGAAGGGAGGAGGTATCTGCTTAACAATAATGGCACTCTTGTACTTGATGGGGACTTCCAACCAGCGCCCCCAGGCTCTCTCAATTACACCATGTCAGCCCAGATCGCCTACGGAGGGGGGGGGAAGGGGAAGGGAGGAGAGATATGCTTAACAATAATGGCACTCTTATACTTGATGGGGACTTCCATCAAGTCAGCAGTCGAAATAAATGAGGAAAAGAGCAGGAATCTAGGCTACTATGCTTACTGTACCTTCCTTCATTATTGCGGGCGTAGCCGCAACAGGTCCCATAGTCACGTTTGACAAGAATGCTATATTACAGTAGGCGAACAATAGATCCTTGTTCTGTTGCTACTATGCTTTCCTTCATTATTGTGGGCGTGGCCACAACAGGTCCCCTAGTCATATAGTTACTTTCTTTATAATGTACTTCAACCCCCGACAAGTTTGACAAGAATAATATACTGCAGTAGGCAAGTAGTAGATCCTTGTCGACGGTAACTTACATGAGGCATGCTGCAGATCGTTGTTCATGGTAAATTACATGAGGCATGCTGCAGATCCATCTACATGGTAAATTATGTGAAGCATTCTCCAGGTCGTTGTTCATCCTCCTATGCCTTTTTTCATCACCCGAATAGGTCGATCACATCATACGTATTCACGTTTGTGTGTGTGTCTGTGTGTGTTAAGCAATTACCACAGGAACCCGTATTCCTTTTCCACCCCACCTCTGTGTGTGTGTGTGTGTGTGTGTGTGTGTGTGTGTGTGTGTGTGTGTGTGTGTGTGTGTGTGTGTGTGTGAGAGAGAGAGAGAGAGAGAGA